TGTGATGCTCTCCATGAGCTGTGTGGAAATGATCTACGTGCTTGTTTTCCATATATACAACCTTCACATACTGGAATTAAATCGATTTTGGGCAAACCATTCACCATATTCTTGTCACTTAGAAGTTTYAACCCTCTCGCATGAAGGTGACCATACYGGAGATGCCAAAGCTTTGAGTCTTCTGTGCTGGTTGTTGTGAGAGCGCACTCATGATCTTTTTCGACATTAAGTGGAAAGAGCTTATTATTAGTCATCTTTACTCGRCATACAACTTGATCAGAAMTCTTCTTCTTTATCGTGCATGCRCCATCATCAAACAAGAGTGAGTACCCCGAGCTCATTAGTTRGCCTACACTCAGTAGGTTGTARTCAAGCTCAGGTGCAAACTGCACATCACAGAGGGTTTTGAACTTCCCATCTGGTACATTTAGAAGTATGTTCCCCTTTCCTTCAACTTGAATGTGCTTTCCATTTCCCAACTGAACCTGCACTTTCATTTTTTTCGTCCAATTTTTGAAAGATTGATCGGGTTCCCGTCTTATGATTAGAGCACCTGCTATCAAGAAACCACAAGTTGCTTGATATACGAGTGTCTTGTCCACCAGCCATAAACAGCCTGTACTCATCTTCTTCTGCCTCATCAACATTTTCCATTGCTGCATTTGCTTGTTGATCGTACCAGCAATCTGCTTTCACATGCCCAAAACGATTGCAGTTGTAGCACTGAATTCTACTTCGTCCTCGTCCTCTACCGCCAGGACGACCACGTCCTCTACCACGCACAAAACCTCTTCCTCGTCCTCTTGTTGGGGGAGAGAAGTCCTCTTCTCTTGCTTGAAACGCCCTTTCCTCATCTTTTTCCATACCTCTATTTACTTGAGACTCATGAGACTGCAGTGACCCCATGAGCTGATCAAATGAGAGTGTGGTCAAGTCTTTTGACTCTTCTATTGCTGTGACAACATGGTCCCATCGTGGAGGAAGACTTCTCAAGACTTTCTCCACCACCTTTTGATCAGTAATAACTTCACCATAGGCTCGTTTTTKATTAACAATTCYCATCACTCGTGATAGGAAATCAGCAACTGTTTTATCTCCTTTCATTGACATCGTCTCGAACTCCCGTCTCAACACCTGTAGTTTTACCATCATGACCTTCGAGTCCCCTTGATACTCTGTTTGCAAGAGAGTCCAAGTGGCTTTTGCTGATGTAGCGACGGCTATGCAGGAAAAAACATTGTCGTGAACAGCCTGCTGTATAATTGTCGTTGCTTTGGCATCCTTCTTTCTATTCTCTCTTAATCTTGCTGAATCTTCGTCTTGTTCATTGTAACCGATCTCAACAAATTCCCATAGGTCTTGTGATCGCAGCAGAGTCTTCATTCGAATGCTCCAGAACTCATAGCCTTCACCTTTGAATACGGGAATAAGGGGTTGTGCAGCCCCTGATGCAGAACTCATGTTCCCGCTCCCGGTAGACATCTCTCTCGTTTTCTCTCGTGTTTACACTCTGCTGTTAACCTGGCTCTGATACCACAATGTTGGAGCAATTGTATGTATAAGAGCAGAGAAAAAAAAACTGAACTTTTCTACATATCTTATTGATAAAAACGATGCTACTTAAATAAACAAAAAAGTAACGGAAATCCCAAGAAAAAAGCATAACTGAAATTTCTAATAAGAACTACCATTATTTCCTAATAATACTCCTACAGACCAGGAGTAACATCTTGACAAGGCCAATCTCCATTTAGCCGTTAGAGATGTTTTCCATTTGAATTACATGTTTCAACAAAGACAACCAGGTTGGATGCAGGATTATGAAAGTACAGGCGAGTTTTCAGATGAAGAGGCAAATATTGCAATGTTTAGTTCACATGATGATCCTATTAAGTTTTGAAAAAGCTGCTATAGAAGGAAAGTGGATAGAAGCAATGAAAAATGAGTTGCAAACTATCAGAAAAAACGAGACTTGGGAACTTGTATCTCCACCAGCAGGAATAAAGACGATCAGGGTCAATTGGGTATTCAAAACCAAGCTAAATGGAAAGGGGGAAGTTGACATACACAAGGCAAGACTTGTCGCAAAGGGGCATGCCCAAAAAGGAGTTGATTACAGTGAGGTTTTTGCACCATTGCTCGGTGGGATACGATCAAAACTTTGTTATCCATAGCTTCACACAAAGGCTGGAATGTATACCAATTAGATGTTAAAAGTGCCTTCTTGTATGGAGAGCTGAAAGAGGTCGTGTACAGGGGGCAACCGCAAGGTTTTGTCAAATAGGGAGAAGAAAATAAAGTGTATCATCTCAAGAAGGCCGTGGATGGACTAAAGCAGGATCCTAGATCCTGGTTTAGTCGGATTGAAAGTTATTTCAAGCGAGAAGGTTTCGAGAAAAGCAGCTATGATCACACGTTATTTACCAAACGAGTCGGTGAAAAACTCGTCATTGTAACTATGTTGATGATTTGATTTATGTTGGGAATGATACTCTATTGTGTGAAGAATTCAAGAAGTCGATGAAACATGAATTTGAAATGACTGATCTGGGAATGATGAGATTTTTTCTTGGAGTACAAATTCATTAGAGTTCAAGGAGATTTATTTGTGTCAAAAGATGTATGCAAATGAAGTCTTAGAAAGGTATAGGATGTAGAACTGTGATTATTCAAAAATCTCATGGTTCCAGGCACTATTTTAACCAAGCAGGGAAGAGGAGAAGAGGTGGATTCTATTATGTACAAGCAATTGGTAGGAAGCTTAATGTACCTGACTGTTACATGGCCTGACGTGATGTATGTAGTATCCTGGGTATCTCGTTTTATGGCTAAACCGAGAGAAAATTACCTGTTGGCAGTAAAGAGAATCTTAAGGTATTTGAAAGGCACAGTAGACTTTGGCTTGTTCTGTGGAAGAGGACATGATGTAGAATTGAAAGCATTCACAGATAGTGATTATGCAAGGGACGCAAAAGATAGAAAAAGCACTTTCGGATACGTGTTTTTGTTGAATGGGGTTGCAATATGTTAGATCTCAAGAAATAGTCCATTGTTACTTTATCATCAACGGAGGTTGAATACATTGCAGCAACTACCTATGCGTGTCATTGTGTGTGGTTAAAAGGATTGTTGGGGCATTTTGGTGACAAAGAATGTGAGACCTTTCCAATTTTTTGCGACAATAGCCCAACCATTAAGCTGTCAAGAAATTTGGTGATGCATTGAAGAACTAAACATATAGACGTGAGGTTTCATTATCTGCGAGCAGGGCCGTCCTTGGGGGAGGGCCGGTCGGTGCGTACGATCAGGGCCCATAAAAATTAGGGGCCAAATTTTTTTAATATATATAATAGTAGTTCAAAAAAATTAGTAAATAGAAGACATATAAAAAATTAGTATCTAATATGACAAGAAAAGATTTTGATACTACATTAACTATAAAGACTCAAACATGTATGAATTAAATATATTGGAGAAAAAATACATAAAAAAGGTTAATCTGTCGTTCATTATATAATATTATTTAATATTTTTCTAAGTTTTTATCTAAAACCGACGTCTAAAACTACTTGTTTCAAAAATCTTTGATATATTCTACATAATTTATCTCCATCGACTCTTTTGATTGTTACATTCTCGCGTGAATTCTATTTTTATATTAAAATATGATAGATTTTTTTGTTATTAGCTAACAAAACCGCCATCTTTTGGAAAAAAAAAATTATCAACCATATAAGACGGTACAACTTATATCTATATTTAGTATAATAAAACTATAATTGTTTTTTCATAGTTGTTTTTTATTATCTATTATTGAGTGTGCAAATCTTATGTATTATTTTATCTCTAAAAGAAGAATAAGATCTCAAACTATCACCAAGATGAGTTTTTTAATTTATATAATCGATGATTCCAAAAAAGTTTGTTTTAACCCTGACCCTATGTTCTTGAGTCTTCTTTTACGTAGGAAATAAAGGAAAGTAATGGGGGAGGGGGAAATATGTTGTTCTCAGATATTTTTCTAGGGAAAAGAGAGGAAAAGGAAAAGAAAAAAATTATATCAAAATTTATTTTTATTTTATTATTTTTCCTTCATCTCTCTTATCTATTAAAAACATAAATAAAAAACTTTATTTTTCTTCCTTTATTTTATTTTTCTTTTCCTTTCTCATTCTTTTCTTTCCTTCCTAAAGTCGAAAATATAATATAAAAGTTTAAAATGGTGTTAATCTTCCCAATTTTGAAAACATAATATAAATGTTTAAAATGATGTTAAAAACATTAACATGAGAAGACATGGAAAACCAACCTATTTACATTGATTTACATAGTGTCACTCAGAAATCAGAAGAATCGACTTTGTGACCCTAAATGATGTCATTCTATGTACCATAAGTATATCATAGGATGTTTTTGATGATGAAACAAATTACCAACGCTACATAAAAATATTTTAGTAGATAATATTAATTTAGAAATGAATATTGATTGATTTTGCGTCCAGGAATACTTGGAAAAACGGTTTTATACGAATTCAATGTTATTTCTGATGATAAAAAGAGTATATATTGAAAAAATATCGTACTTATCGAAGGCTCCTTTTTACATCTCGCCCAGGGTCTAGAAAATGTCAGGAATAGGCCTGTCTGCGAGAGCTTACAAATCAAGAAATTGTGAAGCTGGTGTTTTGTGGAACCAAATATTAGATTGCTGACATGATGACTAACCCGTGAAGCTGGGCATGTTTGTTAAATTACGACTCCTTAAGCCACAACGGGTGCCGGCTCAATTTCTTTGTAAGGTATAGTGTTAAACAACCATCTATTTTCACTCTCATTTACATCAACAGCATAAAACATATTGTTTATAGGATACATTTAGTCTCACTTACAAACTCAAAAATCCTTCAAAACTAATGAACCAAATGCCTTCCTCCACCCCCGACTTCGCCCAACCACACTTTTCGCCATTTTTTCCGACCAACATACGTACAAGGAAGCATACAGTACAACCTGCACAAGCTGAACTTCAGCAGCAGCAGCAAAACTTAATAGTAACAGAAGAAACCAGCAGCAGCAGCTAGCCTCTCCCCCTGTACTACTTTCTCTTTACATCCCTTATTTGATTTCCAAAGGTTTTATAAAGAATATAATACCATCATATATATGGTGACGAGTCCAAACTAGCGATCATAGCCCATGGCTACAACCGGCAGCCGGACCTTGTGACCTCTGCTTCCTTTCAACAAGACCTCTCCGAAACTGTAGGTCCCAATGGCTGATCGGACGGTGAGGGTTACGGTGAACTTTTGGGATGCACCTGGTCCAACAGTCATTGCTGGAGGGCTTGTTTCAATGGCTATGGCTGGTGCCATTCGAGCAGTGATTGTGTAGGTCTCTTCTTCGTCCATGTTTGTGACTGTTCTTGTGACGGTTTGAGTTCCCACGAGGTAGGCAACTGTGATGGACGGATAATTTAGATTGTATGGATGGCCAAGTGTGTAGTTGCAAGGTCGATGTGTGTAGTTTCCTATCTCGTGGGAGTCGATTCCAGGTGTTGTGCACAAGAATCCCAGATAGTCTTCGTAACCTGAAGAAAATATAAGTAATAAGACGCAAGTTTCAAAAGATTACGGAAAAGAAACCTACCAAGTTACGAATTTAGGTTAATTAGACATATTTGAAGTCCTATAAACCCGACTTTGTTTTAATGGCACCTACGGTGGCATTTGGTTCGCATAATGGCTTTTATAGAATAGAACGAACCTGCATCAAACACGAGGCCAGGATCTAGAGCAGCTCGTGGGTTAACATGGCCACTTCCATAATCAAAAGGCGTGGCTGGGACAAAAGTCATGGTTTCAGAACCAGAATATTGTTGGGCTAGAATCGGTCTCTCGCCTCGGTCAAGAGTATTTGATGTTGTCATTAAGGCCGACTTAATAGCCGCAGGACTCCAATGAGGATGCTTTTGCTTTATAAGAGCTGCAATGCCAGCTATATGGGGTGCAGCCATGCTAGTTCCGGAGATCATAGCAAAGTTTTCTCCTGCTTCAACCAAAAACAGAGTTTTAAACCTTACGGAAAACAAAATATCGAACATCTCAGGAAACGGAAAGTGTTGCAATCAAGTATTTACCTACGTAATTAGCCTCATCAGTTCCGTTAGGAGACCAAGAAGCCCAAATCAAAGAACCAGGTGCCAGAATATCTGGTTTTAGAAGATCCGCATCTTGAAATTTGTAATCTTTTATATTCGGGCCTCGAGAAGAGAACAATGCCACCATTGGTGCTGATTTGTGAAGTATAGGCTCCAAACCATTTCCAATGCTTCCTAATGCCTTGAAACTCTTTACTCGTCCAGTCCAATCCCTTGAAGTAGAGACGTTGTAATAGTCTATAAGCTCCTATAACCATACACGCAAATACTAGATCAAAAAATCTGAACAATCACGAGCATAAGATCAGGTTCAAATGAAGCTCGTATATATTTTGAGAACCTGAGAACCAACTATTCATGATGAATATTGTAATAGACATTCATCATGGATAACATGAATAATGAAATGCATGATATTCATGATGAATAATATTCATGAATATTTAGGGTTATTCATTATGAATAATTCATGAAATAGTTGGTTCCATGTTCTCAAAATATTTACATTTCTCATTTGAACCGGGCCCCATGAGCATATACACATACATACATAAAAGGGAGTATGAACTACCATTGAGTTGCTAACATCGGTGATGAGAATCCCAGGTAGGGCAACAGGTACAGGATCAAATTTCGCTCCAGGAGATGCATTTTCTACAGCAAGAACAAAGCCAATTGCACCAAGGCTCTTTGCTGTTTCAGCAACTTTTTTAATTGATGCCGAACCACTGACAAAATTGAAAGAATAACCACACAGAAGGATGTTTCCTTTCACCATATTTCCATTTAAAACTTCAGGCCTCTGGCAGTCTGATGGACTAAACTTCACAACCGAAGAATCCAACAGGACATCGTTAGCCGCAACCAGCGTATATTTTTTATTTGGACTCGTAGCCGCTGCATTGATTGATGATAAATTAGAAACAAAAAGATCATCACATGGGGATACTGAAAACACCAAAGAACTGTTATAAGAACAAAAGGCCATTGGCCAAACTCGTAGTATACGACAATACAACAAAATTGGCTTTATAGAACACCAAATATGTCTAAATGTCCTACTAGACTGCTTTATAGGACTTAAGTTTATAGGAACAAACAATTGTGCGTCCTATGCAAAAATGTTACAATTAGTTGATAGGACGTTTCTGAAGTAAATTGTCTTGTTTGGCGTGAAGCCGATTTTGTAGTGTGTCTCAAAAAACCTGAGGTCATAGGTTAAAGACTCACCATGCAAGTGATGTATGTGTGTGTGTTTCAACCATTTCAAAAGAAAGATCATAATTGAAAATTCCAATCACCTAACCAAGTGATTATTTGAATGGATTACCAATTAATAACCTGAAACTTACATGATAAACCGGTTCCAGCTAGAATCTTTCCATTTCCTAGCATCAAATGGTTTTTGTATCGGCGATCATCAACAGCAGCAGCTACAGATGCGATCCATGGACTGTAAGACACTACAGTTTTGGCTGACGGACCTCCATTTCCGGAAGCTTGTGCAACAAAAACTCCAGCTTTGACGGCCGAAAGAAGTGTAGCGTCAAAAGGGTTTAAAAATGTGGTCTTCGTGGTGGCAGGTGGACTGTTAGGCCCAACCGAGAGATTCAGAATGTCAACACCATCATAAACAGCCTGTTAACATATTACTTTGAATCAATTCCTTCAACAAACAAACTACAAGATCTAGAAGATACCTTCCGATACATATTTTGTAAATAACATCATATAACAAGATATCAACAAACCTGATCGATGGCAGCAACGACATCAGCAACAAATCCTCCAAAGTTCCGGTAGAGTGCCTTGTAAACAGCAATCCTATTCACACATGAATCATTATTCACAATGTTAAAAACAGTAAAGATTATGCTAAAGTTACCATCATTTGCATAGATTTTAGAGTATAAACTTCACCTAGCACGGGGAGCCATTCCACTTGCTTTTCCAAACTCATATCCTTGCACTTGAACAGGGATCCCGTTATTTCCCGCAGCAATAGCTGCAGTGTGACTGTGAAGCAATGTTAGCACTTTCAAGAGATACAAGGGCCAACAAATGCAACGTTTGACGTAACATTTAGTTAGATAAATATGCTTTGACTAAAATTAAATGCCTAAAATGCCCCTTAACAAGACCAATTTGAGAAAACTTGTAGATCAAAATCATGCCTCAAGCATCTTGTAATGATGGCTAAGGGACAATTAGGAAGCAAACCAAATAGACACGGTGAATCCCATGCAGAGGTAGGATTGGTGGAGGGTACGGCGTACGCAGACCTTACCTCTATCCCGAGGGTTATAGACATTGTTCCCATCCAAATTGCAGGCAAATAGATATAACAAATGAGTAAGATATTAGTGAGAGTGTGTGCAAAAGTAAACGGACAATGTAACAAGGCAGAGGAACGGAAAGGGATATACGTTACACAAACAAGGGGACAGGAAGCACAAAGCACGGTATGCTAAGGGGCAATTAGGTAAATTCAGAGTGAGATCTTACCAAATAGAAAACATTGTAATTTTTTAGTACAACCCAAAACTAGTGTAGCACTTTTTTAGACTAAGGGAGTACAAATATTGATGTTGAAAGCAAAACAAACATTTTCCCACAAAAAATGAAAATAGTTTTTGAGCGAAAATCGAAGTATTTGCACAAACCTTCCATGTCCATCGCCATCAAGAGGAGAAGCAAAATCAACTGAAGGATTAAAAGCACCGGCCGCTGTGGCCGCGGCTGCAAAATGCTGGGCACCAACTATCTTTCCATTGCAGAAACTCTTCTTTGTATCAGGATCGACCTCACATTTCCCTCTATATTTTGGAAGAGGGCCATATGGTTCTGTATTCTGATTTTCAAAGCTTGGATGGTGTGGGAAAATACCTGAATCCACGAATCCAATCACAATTTCCTCTCCAGCTCGGTCAAATCCACCTCCAGTTGGCCAAACTCCGGTGGGCAGCCCCAAAAATTCTGGGGTGTGTGTGGTGAGTTTCCTCACCTTCCAATCTCTATCCACGGATTTCACACCTGGGGTGCGCCTAAGCGTTTCTGCCTACTAATATTTTCAAAATGTGTAAGAAAAAAGGATTACAAAAGTAGTCGAATTATTGAACTTCTATATGCTTACCGACATCTTTTTAGTAATTTTAAATTTCAGTATGAAAGGAAGTAAACAAGTCCAGATTGTGACCTGTTCCGGAGAAACATGAACCGCAAAACCGTTGATAAGATGTTTATAGCTGTATAGCTTCTTGTAGGAACCATCATCGAACAATGTTTCAAGAAGCGTATCGTGCCTTTGTTCAAGGTGATCGGAGTACGATATAACCAAATCACTGAGAATCAAATACAAAACAAACATTAAACAGATAACAAACATAAGTGTATGACTATATTTGAACAAAAATGATGAAGTGAAAGTATCAAGTCTAATTATATATGATCTTAGAACTTCTCGCCTGTTTGAACCTGGTCTTATAAGATGCATTAATAATAAAAAGTTATAAAAAATTATTCAAGATTTACGGACCTGGTGACATCAAGCTTCTCATCAGATTCAACAGCAGTGGCTTCAAAACCATTAACACCGCCTTTGTAACTAATCACAGGCTCTCCTTCTATGGTTACAATATAAACCTCTGATTTCACAGACACCAAAAGACCAAGTAGAATCATCATCGTAAAAACAGACTCAACAATCCTCATCATCTTTACTGATCCACTTCCCAAGCAAAACAAGAACTGTAAACAATATAAAGAGAAATCTAATCAAATCAGTGATTAAATGGTTTAATTTCCATGTTATCGGGTCATTTACAGAGATAAAAACCAGATTATAACCCCAGATTCTTGAGTCTAACAGACCAAGTTCATACCTCCATACAATAAACTCATAAATCATTAATAGCTTATCCCATTTGTATAATCGATCTAAAAAAAATACACCCATCAAAAAGGGTATTAAAAGAACAGAGAGGGAGATGAGATGATACCAGTGTGATTCAATCAGCAACAGTCCCTTTCATTTAAATCTGAGAACCCATGTGATCAACCTGCATATTATACTTTCACAGTCATTCAACAATGTGTACAAGAAACGAATCAAGACAACAATTCTTGCCGACTTCAGTTCTTCACTTAACAGTCAAATTAAAACCCACCCAGTAAAGATCAAAGAAAACCCAGTAAGAACTTTACTCACATTGATCCAAGAAAAAAGGATCAAATCAAAATCCCAGCACCCACCATTCGATTAACCGAAAGTAACTTAATTTTGTTTAACAAAAAGAAAACAGCTACATTAATCTATGATGATCAGCCAAAACAAATCACAAATATGGAAGTGTAATCAAGAAAAGGGAAAGTGAGGAAATTACAGTATAAATGTGGGTGTGAGAGAGAGAGAGATAAAGATAAGAGAGTGAGGTAGTTAGGGTTTTTACACGCCAGACATAGGAGCGAAGATGGAGGAGTCTTTGCTAAATTAATTACTCGACTGGTCTCAACTGCAGATTCTTGATGGTCTTCACTCTTCACTCTTCACTCTTCACTCCTCACATTAGTATCAAATATTTCCTTATAATCCCATCAAAATCAATATTAGATTTCATGTGGTATTTTATTAAAATAATGGGATTTTGTCTTATTCATACAGAATCATATAATTAATATTTTTTTATAATTGTATTTTCTAAAATATATTAAAATTAGATAAGATTTTTTTGTTGTCAAAAGGGGGTGTTTGAGATTACTTATTTGAAACAACTTAAGTTTTTCTACAAAAACACTTATCAACTTATTATAAGTCAGAAGGGTTTAACTTCTTCAAAAATTTCTTATTACCGATTTAGCACCGGTATAAATTATTTATCCAAATATTTAAAAATATTTATTACTAATATTATACCAAAATAAACCAATAAATTATTTTTATAAGTAATCTCTAACACCCCTAAATAAAATAAAAATAGAGGAGAATATAAAGTTGAAAAAGGATGGAGCATGTGTAGAGGAATTTTTAAGGGCCCTTTTTATTTCTTTTATTAATTTAAAATATTATAAGTTTAATGTTATTTAAATAAAAGAGTGGTATTTTGGTTTTCTTTTTGTCAATACCTTTATTTTGTTGCATTTTTTATAGTTTTAATTATTTATTATACATTTTTATCTCTTGATTTCTTTTTTGTGTTTCGGAACCCAAATTAGTCCCTTCCTCTAATACCGTTAGAGCATGCTCCGTTAAGTGAGTCATGTGCCCCTCATGTAAGGGGCATTTTGGTCTTTTAACCCATCTTCATACCTCACCTCATTCAACTTCAATTTAAAAACCCTAAATTGATGAAACCCATATTCAACACCACCTGTCACCACCCTCCACCATCACTGCCAACCACCCAACGCCACCCTCATTAGCCACACGCGCCATTCATCACCTCCAACCACCATCAAGCACATATCCGAAGTTCAAAAAACAATAATTAAGAAAAATCCTTGAATCATTTGAAGATGAATAGATCTGATTACGATGAACATGAACATACAAATCTAATTCATACAAAGAACCTAAAGAATCTGAATCTGTTAAAAAGAAAAATTCCTAAATCAAAAGCTTTAGATTTCTCTATACATCTGAATATGAATTTTTACAAAAATTAAACCTGAATCTTGAGTTCGAAATCGTTTGAACAAAATCCTACATCTAAATGTAATTTACTCTTATTCTAATTGATTTTTTTAATTCATTGTATAAAAAAAAATATCATGTGTGACAACCTTGAACAACTTAGGTTAATCGTGTTGCTCCACTTTGAGGGAAATCATGTATCGCTCCACTTTAGCGCGGAATCGTATGTATCAAAGTCAACATTTTCATTTGGAGACTGAGTAGCAGAAGAATGTTAGATCGTGGTGCTTTGCACGAATTGGGCATTGACATGAACAATGTTTTGTGCCATCGGTGCAGGACTGAGGTTGAACCTCTTGAACATTGCTTCTTACGTTATCCTTTTAGTGTGCATGTTTGGTCAAGTCTTTGGAGGTGGTGGGGTTGCATTTCTCTGTCGATGAACTCTTTGGAAGACATCATTTCTTTCCCGTATAGTATTTAAGGAGGCAATTTCAGAATTTGACTCAAAACGATGGTCACTTGGATGGCGCTCTATGTAAACTGGTGCACTAGAAATAAAATGTCTTCAAAGCTACTGTTGTACCTAACTTGGATTTTGGTTTTGAAGTGCAGTTACTTGCTTTCTTCTGGATCTCAAATCGACTGAAACATTTCAGCTGCTCATAGCCTGATTGGTGCAGATCATTTCAGTACAATTTTCACTATCATTTTGTAATTGGATTTCACCTTTAAATCTGTTGCATGGATTGTTTTGCATCATTTCTTTGTCTAGTTGGGTTGGGTTGCTTATGCATTTGGTTATAGATTGTTTGGCGTTGTTTAGGTTCGGATTGTTTCTGCTTCTTGTAAAAACATAATTTGTTGTCGTTGTTGTATCAACTTTGCTTTTATTTTAATAAAGGGGTGCAATGATTTTATCCAAATACAAGATAATTTTTGGGTTCGATCCTGATCCCCATTAGCCTCAGCCATTGAGTGAGTCAAAAAATGTTCTCTCACATTAGTATTCTGAAAGATGGCTTCCGTATGAGACCGGTTAGGATTGTCGATAATCAACTTTTTACCTGAACAATATTAATAGTCAAAATAACATCATGCAGTCCACCTTTTAGACATTTTTGTCAACTATATTGTTATTGTTTATAGTACGATGGTTTTTTGTTGAAATTTTTGCAAGCAAGTTAGGTTATGTTGAATTTAAGTATTTACTGTTCAAAATGATAGTTATAAAAGTTGTACATCATGTAAAATCTAAACATATATTACAACAAAATCGGGTTTATGAAAGAGGTATTCAGTCTCTTATATAAGAGTCTATTATAACACTTAAACATATTTTACGTCATATAAACCCAAATTTGTTATAATGGTATCTAGGAATCTCACTTGCAAGTAGTACTAAATATTGTTTCCTTTATCTACATCTGGACTCACGGTTCTAAAACGCGTTTGATAAAAGAGGTATCCAGTCTCTTCTAAGGCAACTTTCATGCCCCTCCCTAACCGGTGTGGGCTTTTAATCCACCCCCTTGGGAGTCCAACGTCCTCGTTGCCACATCAGTCAGTTTCCGAGCTCTTATACCATTTATCCATCTCAGACAACCGTACTAGATATTGTCCGCTTTATGCATACTTGGATTTATGGTTTTAAAAAACGTCTGACAAAGAAGGTATTCATTCTCCTTATAAACCAACCTTCGTTCCCTTCCCCTGACTGATATAAAATCTTACAAATATATAATTTTATAGAATATTGAGAAGATTATTGGCATTAAGGGGCGTTTTACTAAACGCTTACCCGGTAAGTACTTACCGAGTAATTTTCCTCACCGGATGAAGATGGCAAGGGCCAAGAATCTTACCCGGTAAGAACGAGGATAAGGATGGAGAGTCCTAACCGGTAAGTGAGGGTGACGACTCTTATCCGGGTAAGCGCTTACTAGGAAAAGTGTTTCATGGAATACGTTTTGGTGTACTACAACTTTACCCAATAAAATAAATTATAGTGTTGACTGCTAACGGTAAACACTTACCGGTTAAACATTTAGGTAAACAGTCTTTAATATAAGTTATTGATGTAAAAGAAAACATTTTATCAATAATTTTAAACTATTATAAACCATGAGTAATTATTTTAATATTTTTTGATAATTCATTCGAATCATTGACAATGTAACTGGACCATACGTGTTTATCTGCTCTTGTCTTTATGTTTCAACCATTCTAGCATTTACTGTATATACTTTACACAATAATAGTAATATATTTATCAGTGTTTTATATCATTTTAAAACTGTAGGTATCTGGGTCAGCTTGTATATACCTCGATTAATTTCAAGTCCTGTAGAACAGTCACAGAAATCCCCAATGCCCTTGCAAGACACGGACCGCCGGAACCAACGACCAGGCCTAAGGTTATGGTAATGTCATTTACTAGGGTGCGACGTTATGCCTCGACTTACGAATCAGAACAAAATGGTATTTCATTTTCATGATTCGGTTTTTATGCTTCATCATTTATCTAAATGAATTAAAGGTTTTTTCTCATTAATTTGCAGTCTTGTATTATCAGTTACAATTTAACCTTACAAGTATGATTCTTAAAAAACTTAAAAAACAACGTTGGTTTTAAATATCATCCACTAATATGTCCATATTCATCAAGGGTTTTTAATTAATAAAAAACTTAGAAAAGCGACGTTTTATATACAAATAATTTAGGATCCACATGTGAAACAGGTATCGTAATTATTGAACGGATTAGATTTCTAACCATTCATTGTTCACATGAAATTGAGAATGACATCTTACAAATGTGTTTGCCACTTTATGAATCAACGTCATCTTGAATACATATACCTATATACATAGAGATAAGTGTTCAAACGAGAACGTTACTATTTTTCAGAACCTAAGAACACCTGAAACATGCAATCATTACATATGATAAACGGGTGATACACACATCATAGACACGGACGATCTTGGCCGCGACCTAGGTTGCGGACCATGTCGTTCGCACACTGTTACGTCCCCATAAAACATCACATGTGATGGTTGTCTGTATTATGTATTTTTGCATTCTCATAAAATCAGTAACGTTTTCTTTTGAATTTCCACACACACACACCCATATGGGTGAGATCAGAATAACCTTAAAAGTAGCAAGAACCGAAGAATCCCAAAAAAAAAAAAATATACCAAAATTCTTTACATGCAATTATGTGACTCTTTGAATCTTTTCCGTATATAAATATATGTCCCTTTTAAATGCATTAATGATGTGAAAATTCTTCACATACAATCTGTCGGTTACAGTATTAAATATAAACATATGAAAATTGGAAATCTTACAGTCGTTGCAGGTCATAACCATGTTCAGTTGTCGCATACATTAAAATAACACGGTTTTTGTTTAACGAATCTGTGATGTTATTTTCTTTAGTCCCACTGATGTGTGAAGGAGAACGTCGGGAGACATTGATTGCAAACTTTTATGCCACACACACAAGGCTTGTTTTTATGTATATGTATGCATGTGTAGGGGAATGTTCAAACGAGAAGTATAAAAAGGTTGAAAAATTAGCGCATGAAATGTTTATATATCACTCATTAGTAAAAGGAAATATAAATAAATGTATACATCTTTATAAGCGAATAATCAATTATAAGAAGGTAGATAAACAAACATATGTTCACATGTGCATTTTCAAGCGTATGTATACATATATACACATATAGGGGACCTTCTTTTGAGAACTTATGAAATTTTGATAACATTGAGAACTTGTGCATCATATGTTATTTCATATGAAAATTTTCATCTACCATTAGAATTTAAAATATTGATTAACATATATTTGTTTTACAATTATTTGTTTCACATGTACTCGGT